AACGTTATAAGAACTAAGTCAGTGAACATATATCAGAAATAAGAAAAACAATATTTATATTATAATCAATAACTGATTTTATTTTGTGAAAAATATCTCTATGTATTTTTTTCCATAATATAACATAATAATTTATGAATTTGTTAAATTAAAATGTTGACTTATTTACTATTATATGCTGTAGCTTAAAGACATATCGTCAAACCATTCAAATTTGTGATGTTTTATAATGCTAATACATTTACTTAACTGAATATATTGGACAAACGTTAATTCGTATAGAAATAATAATATAAGCAGAAAAGTATATTTTATAATTTATCATGAATTTATCTTATAATTCTTTTTAAACAGAATTCAAAGATTTCTATAGTAAATGTGCACCTACTTTTAAAATATTTGCAACTATTTATATTTATAGTTCTCTAAACCGCATTCATAAATAGATTACTGTTCGGATCCATTAAAAAAAATCTTCTACATCACTTAACTTTGTATGTCAAGTAAAACGGCATATTTTTTCCACGATATATTGATAATAACAATAACAATGAATATTTCGATGCGCATAGCATGTGCCCACATCAAGTGATCGTCCGATCAGAGGAGAACACAATGCAGCAGACAATGTATTAGTTACTTACGGTTTGAAAATTACGGTAAATGTGCAACAACAGAAACAGCCAACCGGAGAGCAAATATTCGCCCGTGTTCTCATTGTGCGATTTCAATTTATCCAAAAGTGTTTTAACGGTTTTCTTTTCAAAATAAAGAATCGTACGTAAAATAATTATGTTTTTGTTATGACTTCAAGCAATCATATGTCGATCTATTGCGAAACGTAGTACTTCAATTACGTAAATTATGCCAACAAGGACTGTTTGTAGAAAATTTTGATTAGAAGCAAGTCCGTATAATTATTTCTAGAATTGTTTTAGTGTATGTGGAATGATATATGGTAAAAGGAGCAGCTAACCCAAATTATATGAACAGTTTACCCACTTTAATGCATGCCAAATATAAATATCATAGGGCTTATTGATAGTCATTGCAAGCGTCCGCGCTTTTCATCAAATCAATAATTTTTGAAATACATAGACTTGAATGGTACCTATAGTTCCATCTGAAAAACTATTATGTCTTCAAATTTTAATATTAAATCTCAAAAATTTTTTCTGCAGTCCATTCATAGACTGTGTATATATATTCTATGTATTAAGTGAGCACATTGGGAAATATTTGTACAAATAGACAATGCTGCGCGAATCATTGATTATGCAAAAATTGATATATGATTTGACGCTTCTTGTTTTAAAGATTGTAACCTTTTCGTCGCCAATGTCTAAAAATTATCTTGAGAATGTTTCAGCGGGTAGAGCGAATTTAAGCTTTTAAAGCTCAGAAAAGTCTTGATCGAAATTCAGGCAGAGAGAAATGATAATTGATCAGTTATCGAACTAGATCAAAAACGATTAGACTACTAAAATGACTGTTATAAAATAGGAAGGAAAAAAATGTATATGTTTCTGAATTATAAATAATCTAAGCGTTAGGGGAGGACAATCCTTAATTAAAAATAAGTTTATTAAATTTAAAATTAAGCTTTTGCGTAAGTTTAAGAAAATCCTAATCAAATTTCAGTGACAAGTAAATCTATTAATTGTATTTCCAATTTTGCAATTATTATAATTTATTTGTGATATTTCTTTCTTATTTTAATCCATGTAAACAGCTTTTCTTTTCTTTGAGTTAATATTTATCTTACTTTTCTTTTATTGTTATTAATAACTATTAATGCTATGCTTTTATATTTTGAATTTAGAGAATAATAAACATGATAATAATGAAAAATTTACATAACGCTTACTTGAAACTGTATTGCTAATTAATCGTGGTCAATGAAAACAATAGATGTTCTTAATTATGTTTGTATAAAAACAGAGTATGTTATGTTGCTTTGAACTCTAATGCATCAATAATTATTACACTGTTTGTATTACAAAACAGTGACTTTTATTATGTTTAGAACTATCTATTATAATTAAGATGACCATAGAGCCTGGCTTGGCTGGGACAGTCCCGGATTGCCACCTTATGCCCCGGGTTTTTCTGAAAGCAATATTTGTTCTGGAATTAGATCTTTTGTCCCGAATTGTCCCAGTTTTTCAAAAATTAATTAATAGGTTTATTAGAAAAAATTATGAAAACAAACAAACAAGTGCTGAATTTAAAAAATTAATTATGAAGGAAATTGAATAGAATTTTATACAAAGCTCGAAAGTAAAAAAACATATACTACATTTAAAAAAGTACTACTTTTAATCGAATATCAAAGTTCTTATAATAATAGAACTGTTTTTTATTGTATCCTAAAATATAATTTGTTATGTTAAAGACCCCCCTCCACCGTAACGAATTAGCGTAACTAAAAATTGCCGTCTCGGGTTTGACTTAAAAAAAAAATGGTCACTTCAACTATAGTAATTAATAACGAATGAATTATCGACGCTAATTCTAAGCTGCTTTCCAAGTACAATTTCAGCAGCGTTAAGCATCTGCAACATAATTTGCAGTGTCAATAAGTTTAACTATCGCAAAGTACTTAATGCTAGCTAGCTAGCTACGATTCGCAGTTCGCCGAGCGTCGGTGGCGTCGATGAAAGCTTCTAGTAGCACAACGAGGCGCGTATCGCCGTAACGCGATATCCTGCAAACAAGATAGACCCAATCGCATATTATGAAGCATATCATTCATCGCTATTAGTGTTGCTACAAGGATCATATATGAGTTGTACATAGCCATCGGCTGTATTTACTATAACAAACTTGTATTTATAACGAAATATAACACCGACGGCCTGGGCCGATTACGAAACATAATTACTTGCAAATCAGAATTAATCCAGGGATGCACGAGAACACGAAGTTCGAATATTTATCAAAACATATTTGTTGTATATTATGTTTAACTTCCCGTATGGTAAGTTATAGTAGAAAATGAAATTTTTTATATATTTTTACAATTCAAAACCTTCTGAATATTTTGGCATACCTTAGAAAAAATTGATGTATGTGTGTGTGTTTATATATGTATGTATATGTGTGTGGAAAGGCAGATCTTGCAGTTTTGGAGATCCAATAAAAAAAGGAATGTTTGGTGGTCAAAAATTATCATTAGATATATGCGCCTCAAATTATCATGTATTTTAATAGTCAGTATAAAGTTTGTTGATATTTCTATGGGTTCTGTACCAATGTTTATCTATTTTTATACAGATATACTTTCTATAATTTCAAAAAATATTTTTTATATTTTCAACAAATTTTGAAATATAAAAAATCAAGTTTTTCAAAAAAGTCAAGGTTTTTCAAAATTTCAAAATTCTAAATAATCTAAATTTATAAAAGTTTTCGAAAAAATTTAAAGCTTTTTTAAAAATTTTAATTTTAAATTATTTGCTTTAAGGCACGATGTCTTACACCACTAGTTAATAATCATATTTGCATAAAGAAATCATGAATGAAATTTGAAAAATATCAGTTCATGCGTTCTTTTCTGCCTCTCAATAACAGCGTTCTTATATTACTGTTCTTATGTAGTATCTGTATGCTTTGTACACAAATAATTTTAGAAAAGCTTCATGCGAGTATTTGATGCTGGGTAATATAATATAACGTTTTTCATTCAATTTTTTATTATTGTATTCAACATCAACAAAAACTAAATTAAGTTAAATTAATCGCCAAATGATGTTAGTTATAACCTACATAACTTGCGAAATTTTAGCTTTAATTTAATTATTAAATGAAAAATTTTAATTTGTAGTATTAATGGTGAATATACGTGATTTAATTATAATTTTTAGAAAAGTTTATATTAACGCATATAATATTTATGTATAAAATTAAACTTATCAAAAAAACTTGTTGGCAAGATAATTAGAATGAAAATTATTTGAATTGGTTAAACCTGGTTTTGCGATATTTTTGAGTAATGTACTCCATTTCAAAGTTTCTAGAGCATCAAAACAGTACTATAAATGTAAGTGCTTCGGCAACTTTAGGATCACTTGACATTTCACATGCCCTAAAATATCCCACAACTCGCGAAACACGTTTGGGAACAGTATCAGTTCTAATACGAAACTGGAATCTAACCATTTATAGTAATCTCGCAGACTGTACACATCAATAATAGCAATAACAACCCTTAAATCAGAACATATTAATCCAACACCCCTCTTAACTGTACTCCGGCGCACACATGAAAGCCGAACGTAGGCAAGAGGGAGAAAGGCAGCGGTTCTCGGAATGCGATGCCCTGCGGCTCGTCTCTCGCTGCGTTCTTCGCGCACAGAGCAACACTATCGTCCCCGGGCGCGTGGGGTGAGTCGCGTTCGCAACCCCGGTCTGCCGATTGGAGCTGCATGCCCGTCAGGCCACACCCTGCGCGTTATGTAGAAAAAGCGTAGGCACACCCCTCGCGTAGAGCGCACAGCGTTGTTCCGAGTCAACCATCCCTTCATCGTGTAATTTTTAGTGAACACAAAATAAGGGTAGCCATCCACTTTAGTATGGTTTTAGATATCTAAGTGTACGATACAAACAAACCAAGTGATTGCTCCCACTATATAGATAATGTTCTGTCGATCTACCAGATGTGTGCTTAAATATATGAAGGAAACGGTTTATTTCAAAAGTGATCTCTAGTGACTGACGTGATATTTGTGATATTTTTTATTAAATTTTTTGACTGATAAATGATTCTTTAGTTTCTAAATAAATATATGATATAATTATATCATATATGACCCATTTGCATCTAGTACTAAAAATGACAATGTTTAACAATGTGTAAAAAATATAATTTCACCTAAGCGACACATTAAATCAGTTTATCAAGCAATTCTTTTAAAATGATCTGTGAAACCTGAATGCTTCGGAGTGAATACTGTTCGGAATTATTGTTTTGGAACAGATTTTGTGACCCAAGAACGAAAATGGATTCACCAAGTCGCGAATCGGAAGTAAATGTAGTGTCTAGCCCCGAACCTAGTCCTGGTTTGCATCGGCCCTACCGCGCGGATTCGAGACCAGAAACGCCACCGCAGCAGAAAACAGCGCCAAGTCAGGCGGGCAGCACGGGATATACGTCATTTTCAATATCGAGTATACTGAGCAGGCATGAACCGTCAAAGAGGTTTGGAAGTTCAACAGCACAGACGGGGTCACCAATAGGACTACTGCCGGCAGCCGCAGCAGCAGCAGCCGCCGGTTCTACACCATGTGGAGACGCTGCTATGCTATCAAGGTAAGAGCTTAAACAATATTTTAGATACAAATTTTGTATGTATATATACAAAAGTTATTCTTCACTTTCCACTCGCGTATTGCAGAATTAATACGTATTTTGCTGCCGGCGGCATCCGAGAGGAAATGGTTAAAATGTCAAAAAGTTTTGGCAGTTTACCATTTTTCTGTTTTCATATTTCACTCTAACCTAATTTTATAAACAATAATTCATCTGATTCTGATGTGTTTTGAACAGTACAACTAATTATTCCTTAAACAAGTAATACTAATACTATATATTAAATAATATACAACACTTTTACATTTCTAAAACATAACAAAATGTAATAACATAATATGTGATAATAATAAAAACACTATTAAATCGAATTTATTCAATGAACTAAAATAGTAGTATTTAAAAAAATAGTTAGTTGGTTAAAGAATCATAAATCATATGCAAAGTTTTGTACTTTATTATTACCACACTGTATCGCCGGAAAAAATGCGAAAAGCATATCCATTCCATTCATAAATATTTTAATTGATTGAATATTTTCTTCAATGAAATACGTAATAAACGATGAACCATAGAGCAATATTTTTGGAATAGGTTCATTGTTGAAAATACTCCATGCATGATACGACATCTTTAATGATATCCAAATTAGATATATAAAATATCACAGCCGAAACATCAGCCCATTCATAAGAGACTTATATGCAAAAAGGAAAAGTTTTGAACCGCATGATTTATTTAAATTATTCTTATATTTATTAATTATATAAATATTTTATTTCAATAATTTTAAAACAACTTATTTTATTTTTTTCATTCGAGTTAGTCCTGTGCGATTATAATACCTTTATATTCTAGATTATGATCATAAATACAATTAACAATCTAGAAAATTGAAAATCGGGTTTTGGATATATAAAAGAAAATAAAGTGACCTATATAAATTTATGTTACAACAGTTCCATCAAGTTTTCAACAACTAGTAATAGACAGCGATTAAAATATTAATTTTTTTTTCAAATATAGAATATAAGGAAATCAAATAAAGACATACTGTCTTATATGCTGATAAAATTTAAGTAAAAAATTAAAACTCGATAAGAAAAATAGTGAAAATAAACATGTAAGTTGAAATGTATTGGTCTTTTCACTGAACGGCCTTTGATTTGTATGAAATACTTTCTTTATTCAATTTTATCGCAATCAATTTGTTAGCTATTATAATAATTTTGACGTTGAAATACGTGAGTCAAAATGTGCAAGGCAATACATCAAATGAAAATAGAAAAAAAAAAAAAAATTTATTATTTTCATACATTTCGACATATTATCCTATGTCATCTTCAGTATCACATATTATACTATGCCTAAATAACTAAACTATAAAACAATGGAAAAAATAAAAGTAACCAAACCTAATATTTGAAAAAGTAACATTGCGTTAAGACTTGAATGTAAACTGAAATGTACCAATTATCTAATGTAAAATCTATTTCTAGTCAATTTAAATCAATTTTTTTAGATTTGATTTTGTAATAAGTGGGACATATTTTTCGGTCAGGTTTCTAAAGTAAAGTAGAAATGTTTGAACCATATATGTGTATTAGGTAAAGAAAATAATAAAAATCATATGAATTTCTTCAATTTTTGTTTGATGTATTGCCTGAAGATTTTGACTTACATATACAAATAATATGTAATAACAATAACCAATACAAATTTAATAAATATAAAAGCATAAAACAATCTACATCCACAATAAATTAAATTATCCCCCACAAGAAAAAAAATAATTGTCTTCTTTATAATTCGTTAATAAGAGCAATGAGGTGATTTATCTCGCGCGTAAAAATCCGCCGCGGGATGTTTCAATGTTAAGACTTGACAAGACATTTAATTCTTTTAAATGTTTTTTACATTGAAGTGGGAGAAATCATACAACGTAGAAAAAAACACAATAAAAAATTAGGGCGAAAAAACTGATTTACAGATTCAGAACAATTTAAAGCGCCAAAACATCAGTCAATTAAGACCAATTAAATATTAGATATAGTGTTTAGAAAATTGTTCATAATGGGTTTATATACACATATACTTTATATATATAATATTATATTTTGCTCTCACCTTTAAATCATATTCTTCTTGAAAGCAAAATTTATTTCTTTCTATAATGAATTTATAATTCGGATATTCAAAAAGATGGATCCCCGGCATCGGCACTCTACAAAGTTAAATTAACTTATTATTTATTAATTTATTAATGTATTAAATCAATTCAACAACACAATTTTATTAAATTACCATATTATATATTTTACCAAATATATAATATAATATACAATCAATTTAACAAAGCTAATTATTACAAACGAATAAATAAATCTTGGTAGGAATATCAATCACCGTTTATAATATCTACTTCTCATAACTAATAAAATCTCATCATCTGAAGAAAAATTAATTCAGCAAAAAATTTATAAATTAAGAAATTATATTTATTTTTGTAAATTACTAAATGTATACCAAACATTAGCAACAGAAGTAAGTAAATATTTCCTCAAATGCAAGAAGTCAATCCATAAGATATTGAATTATAAAATTTTAAAGTTTATAAAGGTTCAGCAGCTTGATTTGCAACATATTTTTTATTTTAATTTCTTATACTTCATTTCTTATATAATTCTTATAAATATCGCCAAACATATGGCTCGTTAAATATATATTCAATTATTAATAGAAATTTTGTGATTATAATTATTACCAGTAATAGTTTTCACATAAATATACTAAAATACATAGTATACAGTTTCACATGAATATGTAACAAATGGGCGAATCCATAAAATTAATAATTATCCCTATATAGACATAATTCGGAAAACCAAAAACAGGTAATTTATTCCAATTATTTAAATTGTTTCTATTATACGTCACACAATTGTAAATATGATAACATATATTTAATAATGATTATTCAATATGCGGTTAAGCGCATCAGGAATAATTACTGAAAACTGAATTTATATGCAAATTTGAAAATAACGTATATTTTCCCTTTATAATCACTGTTTTTAACCGCACACATTATAATGTTTAGGTAATTTTACTATAATGCTTTTCAATCGAATAATTTGCAATGGGCGTATTATTATTTTGTTCGAAATTTAATTCTTCCGTGAAAATGTATTTTGATTAAAATGCTTTTGAACGCGAGCCTTTACATGTGTTCATAAACAGCTAAAGTCCAATCTATTGTAATTCTGTAACGAATGATCAATGAAAAATTTTAGTAAAATATTTTATATAACGGTTTTTAACATTTATATGCATTTTAAAAATATTTTGTATTAACTAAAATTAATTTTAATATTTTTAAATGCAAAACTTTGCTTAAAAGACAGAACTCAAACGGTTAGTAATCCATTACTTCTTCCCTGAGTACCTGACACCACGCGTTAAGCCGAAGGGCAACGAATTGGAGTACCTACCTGTGATCTAGATCTCAGATAAGATTGCGCGCTACTTTATTAGTTTCGTTTTTTTTTTATCAAAAACCACAAATACAAATAAACTCTTAACCGTCAAGAAAGTTATTAGTTTCCCCGCTAAGGTTTATATAAACATAAACACTAAAACCTGTTGCAGGAATAAAATTAATATTTTTTAAACATATAGAGGTAGTAAATATATGCTGATTTAAAAAACCAAAATACTTACATTTTTAGTTGTGCACACTTCAATTTTAGTTCAATTTGCTGCGTATATGAATAGTATAAATAATTATATCAATAACAAATTTTTTTAACTTCATGTGTTAATATCTCCAAAAATTAATAGCGATATTATTATCCATTAGTACCATATACCTAATAAATAAATAAATGATACTGTTTGTGTCCGTATGGTCTAGCTATTGGGTGAGCTAGACCGATTTTCAAGAATATTTTTGGATGATATTAAATTAATTTACAACTGGATTCGATAAATTATCTTAACTGTTTGTACTATTTGAGTTAGTTTTAAGTGCTCAATTCCTCTAAACCAGCATTAAATACTATATAGAAATATCGCATGCAAACATTAAATCACATAGATCATAATTTTTGATATTAATCGAAACTAGTAAATTATTCGAATTAATGTTTACATGAAAAATAGGGAAGCAACAAATTAGTAATTATAAGCAAATATATGCAAATACAAAACAAAATTATTTTTAAACATTTTTTTGGAATTAATGAATTATGTGACTTCAACTTACAGCGGCCTATAATGCACATTCGTGTGTGAAAATGTTATTTCAGATTGAAATGCCTAACGATGGTCATAAATATTGATATCAGTTGTCTTGACAACGTTATAAAATTAAGATTATGCGTCTTCTCACGATAACAACCATAATTATTTTGTAAAATATCGATAAATTTGAGATGCCATCTGAAAATTACGCGGGCCGACAGAGCAATAAGTAGTGTCCTCTGGAAAAAATTTATAATATTATATACGTTTTATATTTGGATACTTCGAAATATAACATATATTAAAGCATAGAATTGCGTTATGTACAATATTACTGATACTTTTTGTTTAAAAATGAGCAATTGTTGCAAAAATATACAAATCGAAAAGTGAGAAAAGGTGAATAATTTTATTTTCTCATTTTCTCATGACTCATTTCATCGTTGAAGTTTATTTGAATATGGGGTCTCAATAATCAAGCGCGATGCTCTTATTAATTTAAGGTCACGGTATCTCATATATATATATATATATATATATATATATATATATATATATGCTCAATATTTTACAAAATTGTATAGAAAACTAAATATAAACATGATTTCCATAATATAATATTACCAAATATTATACAAATGTATATAGATTGGTTGTGTTAAATATTAACCAATTAACTTGGCGCACTCTACGAATATATAGATTAACACTATGTTGAATTTAAAATGTAAATTGAACTTATCCTGATAGAGCACGTA